GAAATTTTGGATCTCTCAAAACTACCACTAAAAAAGAAAGCTTTGGGTTGTAAGTGGATATATAAGATTAAGTATCACTCTGACAGGTTGGTGGAACAATTTTAAGTCAAACTCGTAGTTCTTGGGAATCACCAAGTAGAAGGCTTAGACTACAATGAGACTTATGCTCCAATAGCAAAAATAGTCACCATTCAAACGATTTTGGTTGTGGTAGCAACAAAAAAGTGGAGCTTCACCAAATCGAAATCCACATTACATTTCTCCATGGTGATCTCATTGAAAAGGTTTACATGAAACTTCCTTCCGGCTTTCGGGTGTCTAAACATGAGATGGTTTGTAAGCTTCAAAACTCCATATATAGCTTATAACAAGCTTCCCGTTGCTATTTTGAAAAAAATTTCTCTTCTCTAGTTTGGTATGATTTCCAACAATCTCAAAATGACCACTCTTTATTTTGTTTTCACTAGAATGGCGTGCAGTGAACTGTTTTGGTCTATGTTGATGATCTCGTAGTTACCAAAAATAATAGTGGCATTATTCACTCATTTAAGGAATATCTACACAAGTATTTTCATATGAAAGATATGTGGCGATTGAAATATTTTTAAGGGTTGAAGTTGCATGATCTTCATTTTGGATCTTCTTGTGTTAGTGAAAATATGCTTTCGATATTATTAGTGAAGCATACTTACTTGGTGTAACATCCACACCATGAGAAGAGAATCATAGACTAGAATTCACAAAAGGTCCTTCTTTGACTGATCCTAGCTCATATCTTCTCCTTGTGGGATGACTTATTTATTTATTCTTTACTCAACATTTATATATTTTTACTCAACCTTAAACAAAGCATTATCACATTGTCTTGCGAGTTTTACACTACCTTAATGCTAAAATTAATACTCTCAGAAGACATCCAAAAATCAAATACATCATCTATTATGTACTCTTGTATAATAAATTATACCGAAGCATATAATAGATTATACAAAATCATTTATGCCAAGTTTTTTAAGTACACATGACAATGACTTAAAACACAAAACAAATTGTAGAAGATAAAACTTAGGACAAATTATTTTAAACACGGATTTCTATTGGAAATCATACCAAATGTTGAATATATGTAAAATCACAACCTTTACTTATATTCAACATTTAAAAAGAGGTATGATTTACAATCTCATTCAACTTATGTATAGTTTTATGTCCTCGAGAGATATGATCATATACTATATATATATATATTAAATCTCACACAAATTTAAAGCTTAAATCTTAAAATTTATCGTATGATTTTTCAGAAGATATTGATAGTTGAGCTGCCACTCTCTCTAGTAACCCATATTACCAACTTTAATATATATATATATATATATATATATATATATATATATATTACACAATATCTCATGAAAAATGACATGTATAAATTGCATTTAAGTGTAACAAAACACTCTCCTAAGAATAACAACTCACGTCTTTGACATACAAATACATAATTTCTTCTCAAATATGCACCATTATTTCTTCATTTATAATCCAGCATGAATCTAGACAAAGTTAAAGTTGCCATACTTTATTTTGATGTTTTTTTTATGCTATTAACTTTTTCTTTATTGCGAGTTAGACTTTCATGTTATTTTTTAGTTAAACAAAACATGTTTGCTTTTCGATTATAATTTTTATTACCTTTTTATTCTAGATTCTTTCATTGTTTTAGAAAATCATATCCATATTCTAAAAAAATCTAATACATAAAATAAATTATAGAAATTACAATTAAAAAACATATTTCCAAAAAAATATTCAAAATATTCAAATTTTTTACTAATATAAATATCAAAGTCTACATTAAGAATGAAATACACCTTCATAAGAAAACTATCTTCTTCTTCAATATATGGTCCTTCCACTTGGTTTGTTTCCACTGAGTTCTTCTTAGGTTTGCAAATTTCACAAGTCATTGATTTAAGCAAGTTAGTAGACAATGACACAATATTCTTTCTACCACTCTTTTATCTCTTAATTACAAGCAATCTTCCGCTGATCAATTTTTGTTTGTCAAAATTACTTCTACTTCTTTCACAGCTTTATTAGTTTACGTGGATGATATTGTCTTCGCTGGTGATTATATGAACAAAATTAATTCTGTCAAATGTGTTTTGGATACTAAATTCAAGATTAAAGATCTTGGTGTTCTTCGTTATTTTTTGGGATTAAAAATTGCATGGTCTAAGTCTGGCATTCACATGAACCAATGTAAATACACTCTTGAACTTCTTGATGATAGTGGTTTACTTAGTTCCAAATGTGTTACCACTCCTTCTAATCTCTCTACTAAACTTCAGGCTAATAATGGACAACCATATTCTGATATTGCTGATTATCGCAGATTAGTCGACAAACTATTATATCTCACACTTTGACATTGTCTTTTCTATCCAACAACTTAGTCAATTCATGGTTCAACCTCTTGATGTTCATTATAAAGCTGTCATTTGGGTTCTTAGATACTTAAAAGGTTCACCTGCCTAAGGGTTATTTTCTCTTCATCTTTCTGCTTTTTCTGATTCAGACTGAGCCTGTTATTTGGATACTCGCCGCTCGATTACTGGATTTTGTATTTTTCTTAGTTCTTCCTTGATATCTTGGAAATCCAAGAAGTAATCTTTTGTCTCTCATTTATCCTCTAAAGTAGAATATCGAGCATTAGTCAGTCTCACTTGTAAGATTCAATGGTTACATTATCTTTTCCGTGATTTTTATGTTTTATTGAGTCCTACCGTAGTCTATTGTGACAATCAGTCTGTCATATACTTAGCTCAAAATCCAGTATTTCATGAGTACGCTAAACATATTGAGATCGATTGCCATGTGGTTTGTGAGAAAATTCAATAATGCCTAATTCATCTTTTTCCTGTTTCGTCTTCCAACCAGCTTGCAGATATTTTTATAAAACATATTTATCATGCTTTTGACAATTCTATATCCAAGTTGGGTCTTTATGATATCCACCGTCCAACTTGAGGTGGAGTATTAATATAATTATTTTTTTATAACAAATCTCTGTTTTTTTTATATTATTTTTAGTTATAACATGGGATTATATATATATATATATATATATATATATATATATATATATATATATATATATATTCTGTTTTTACTTTTTTTAGGATAAAAAATTATTAATAAAAATAGATGAATTTTATCTCATGGACATATATGAAAAGGAAGAATATGACAAGTAATAGATACCTTTTGTCTTCTTCTTCCAAAGGAATTCCAAATTTACGGTAGGTGCTATATTGCTATGGTAAGTCATAGTTGAAGTTGGTGGTACGTGATGTATTAACTGCTATTATAGTTTTAAATGATTCTCATTTTGAATTTTGTGTCATCAAGTAAAAAAATAGGAATGTTTTTTTAGTAATAGTAAATTAAACCGAAATTGGTGACCGAGAAGTTGAATATTAGGATGTGGAGTGTGGTGCTCCGCTTTGGGCCCAACATGGTTGGTGGATTGGGACCGGGGATTGGTGAGAGTAGCATTAACTTTAAATATCATATTAATGAAAAAGAATATCACATTTGGTACCATGCAAAATATGTTCTCTCATTTTAAAATAATAATAATAATAATAATAATAATAATAATAATAATAATAATAATAATAATAATAATAATAATAATAATAATAATAATATATTGTAAAGTCTTATTGTCATCATGTCATGTGTAGATAAAATTCAATTTCAAATCATTTAATTGAGGGATACATTTTATCAAGAAATGTTAGTATATGAAAGTAAAAGTAATATGTTTTATTATAATTGTTTCAAATTTTTGTTTATATTAATAATGATTTATTTATTTAATAAATCCTATTTTGTATAATATATTATTGTATTTATATTAATAACAAGTTATTTATTTAATAAATTATATTTTGTATAATATAGTATTGTATTTTTAATAAAATATTTCAATTATTATATGGTATACTTTTTAGTTTATATTGTATGCTTATTTTATTATTTTGTGATTCAGTATTGTTAAAATTGATTTAATGCATTAAAAAATTCAATTATTCCGTGTTGTCCCATATATTTTAGGATTTAATCGACTAAGAACTAAAATTAAAAAATAACCCCATCAAGTTTTCGTTTGCGTAGAACAATAATAAACTAATCCCAACCCGTCAAATAAATTTGAATATCTTTAACTTTAACATGTATTTATTTTTAAATTATAATATATTTCAAACTAAAATTAAAAATTGATGCACAATTTTATTTGATAAATTTATAAATGAAGTTTGATAGACATATATTGTTATTGTAGAATTTTTTTATATCTAATTTTTAATACTTTTAAAATAGTTATTGAAAAAAAAAAACTTACCTTGCATGGAAACTGATATATAGTAATAACTTTCTTGATAAAATGACGGGATAAAAATATTTTTACTATATTATATATTCTTAAAGACAAGCTTATATTATAATAAATTTTATTTAATATTGTTTTAAATTATTTTTATAATACTTCATAAAAGTCAAACATTTAAATGGATTTCCTACATTTTAATTTTAAATTAGGAATCATAATCATGAACAATGTGATATTTAATTATAGTATCTACTAGTAAAAATTCTTTATTTAAGCATCTACTAGTATCATTTCGGATTTCAATATTTTATACTTATACCACAAATAAAAATTAAACTCAATAGATTTTCTATATTAATTTTGTGAAACAGTTGCAATACTTTAATTAACATGGTGCTGACATTGTAATAAAACTCCCATAAGCGTGCGAATCCCACCAATCCCACAAAGCCCGGTTAGCCCAAAAAAATCATAGTGCGAAAGCGCCTATAAAAGAAAGCCATATGTTCTCATTCGTGCAGATCTGCATCTTGTTCGTTCACTCTCACTTTTTATTTGTTGCCACATTTCTCTTCTCTCTGTTTTCTCCTCTTCCGCATCAATGGAGTTGGACGGTGTTCTCCTTGGAATGTGTAACCCTCTCCTTGACATCTCTGCCGTCGTCGACGACGCTTTCTTGCAAAAGTAGGTTCCTTGCATTTCTCACTCTTTCAATCACTATTACTATTAATGAATAATAATATTATTAATTATTAATAATAATGTGTTGCGATGTATTGCTGTTCTGAGCTTAGAACTAAGAAGAAGAGTGTTGGAGAGGTTTATTGCGTGATTGATTTGTGAATCTGAAAAAACAAGATGCGACGGATCAGATCTAACGCTTGTCTTTCTGTTTTTGTATAACAGATACGGTATCAAGTTGAATGATGCGATTCTCGCCGAGGATAAGCACAAGCCTATGTAAGATTTTTCTCTTCTTCTCTAATATGTATGCAGCTTCGTGTTACGAGTAGCCGCTTTTGTTATTCATTCTGCGTATATCAACTGAGGCCTCGTTTGTTTCGATTTTGTTGGTTGAATGAGTGTCGTGTTTTTCAAAGTAGAAGACGGATACACATTTCAAAGCTCTTTTAATTGTTAGATGAGTTTTCCGGGAAATAAAAGTGAAAACACTCATGCGTCTAAAATTAGAGTTAGAGATTATGTTAAGTAAGCAAATTGTTTTACTTGTAGATCCACGCTTGGTTTGAAGTGGACTGAGTTTGAGATTCTTGCACGTTTATGGATTCATGCACTTTTAGTATTTTTCTTTCTTTAACTTTTCAAACTTTATCAGGGGTCGGTGTGACTTAAAATTATGGAAAATATTTTTTTTTTCACTAATATTTTCCACTAAGTTGTAAAATAAACAATTATTTGTCACAATTGCTTTTCTCTTAACTAATGACAAAGAGCTTCACGAAAAAACAAAGAAATGATTGAGTATAGCATCTTCTCAATACTGATTCTCTTTTTTAAGAAAGTCTTGATATGGAAAGTAAATCTATGTAATATATTAAAAACATATGAGCATTATATGCGTTTTTCATTGAACAAATAGGGGAATTTATAGGAAGATTTTAACTATACCTTTCCCAACCAAAGTTGAGTTTGATTCGTATAAACTACTATCAATGTTTATTATCTGAAAACAAGAGACAAAGGAATTTGTGTTGGTTGATTGACATTAGTGGCATTTTCTTAATTTCATATATATACATATATTATTTTTATTATTATTAATATGATGTGGTTCTTGTCCTTGGGATGTATGAAACCGTTATGCCCATGCCCACTTCTTATCCGTTTTGCTCTCTGCTAATGCTCTGTGTAAATCACAAGTTTTACCAATATCTTGTACTAAATACTCAATGTACTTTTTTGAAGAAAATTTGTAAATTAAGAACTTGATGTAATAACTGGATATTCAGCCTCCATATCGGGAAAAATATTTAGCTCTCTCCTTACTAAATTTTTTTCAGAGATAGTATTTTATTGGAGGATATTTTCTTTTTAAGATAGGATATTTTTTGTTTTCTCATATGATCTGACAATCATGTCAGGTATGAAGAATTGGCTGCCAAACCTAATGTGGAGTACATTGCTGGAGGTATACATTGATACGAATTATTGGATTTCTAGTCAAAATTCTTGCTTTACCATGTAATATCATATCATGAAAATGCTAACTAAAAAAAGAAGGGAAAAGAAAGAGTTGGAAATGCACATTTCATAATGACGATTTATATAATTTCCTCATTGGCAGGTGCTACTCAGAATTCAATCAGGGTTGCTCAGGTATGTACTTTCTTTTATATATAGTGAACTCAGTCTGGAGTAGTTGTGTAGCTAATCGGTTCCCTTCACCACATAACAGTGGATGCTTCAAGTACCTGGTGCCACAGGTTACATAGGTTGCATAGGAAAGGACAAATTTGGAGAGGAGATGAAGAAGAAATGTTCACTTGACGGTGTAAAGGTAAGTTCAATCTTTTGATTTGTCTTATTTTATCCCTTCCTTTGTAATATTCAACTCTGTACCTGCCCATAGAATCCCATTCTGAAATGAACTTTATTCATTCAACAATCAGGTTCACTATTATGAAATCGATTCTACACCTACGGGAACTTGTGCTGTTTGTGTGGTTGGTGGTGAAAGGTCAGACGATCAAACTTTCCTGGACTTTTCATTCTGCTTATTATAGAACTCAATAATTATATTTAATGCTTTTTGTTGTAAATAATATACATCTTCAGCTTAACATATACTAAGCCTTCTATTTGATTGCTGTAAATATAGGTCACTCGTTGCCAACTTATCAGCTGCAAATTGCTATAAGTCTGAGCATTTGACAAGACCAGAAAACTGGGCATTAGGTACCTTGTTGATACGCTTTCCTTTTCTATGTCATATACCTGAATAATCCAGATGACTGACATTTGTTATTTTGTGTGTGTGTGTGTGTGTTTTTTTTTTTTTTTTGTGAATAGTTGAAAAGGCCAAGTATTACTACATTTCTGGCTTTTTCCTCACTGTATCTCCTGATTCCATTCAATTAGTTGCTGAACACGCAGCTGCAAATAACAAGGTTAGATATGATTAGAACTTGGCATTCTCATTTTGCTAGCAGTTTCTAAGACCAAGTATTTTATTCCTGTATGCAGACCTTCATGATGAACCTTTCTGCTCCCTTTATCTGTGAGTTCTTCAAGGATGCACTTGTTAAAGTTCTTCCGTAAGGATCCTTCTCTGTTTAATTTAATAAAAACAACTTTAGATATTGATTTTATTTAACTATGTTCATTCTGGGATTCAGATATATGGACTTTGTTTTTGGAAATGAGACTGAAGCAAGAACATTTTCTAAAGTTCAAGGCTGGGAGGTAATCATTACTTAGCACATCGGAAGGCTTGCAGCTTTTGTTTTAAGTTTTTATTTGTTGTGTATTTTGACCCTTTTCCTATGGACTAGACTGATAATGTTGAGGAAATAGCTTTAAAGATTTCCAAGTTGCCAAAGGCATCAGGAACACATAAAAGGATTACCGTTATCACCCAAGGTGCAGATCCTGTTTGTGTTGCTGAGGATGGGAAAGTGAAATTGTACCCTGTGATACTTTTACCTAAAGAGAAATTAGTTGACACAAATGGAGCAGGTAAACAGTTCTATTGCTTTTAGTGTTTAGACGTTAAGCGAAGTTTTATGTGCAATTGGTTTATGGGTTGGTGTAAAATCCGTGCAAGTTATAGTTTCGGCTCTTTCTGTATGATCTCCTTTTCTTATTCTTCATGGTAAAATAAGTGTTATTTTTAAATAATTATTACAAATTATTGACTGTTTTTCTAATACTGGAAAAATAACTACATAATGTTTATTTTATGAAGATTCAAGCAGTACTAATCTCTCCTGCTAAAATACATTCAGTAGTAGGAATATAGATATAGCAACAAACATGGAAAAGCCAAAATGATAATTATGATTCTTATGGTGTTACCAGGAATATAGACATTGCATTTTTATAGTGGCAAGCTAGACTGCGATTTTGTTTAATCTAAATGTTTTTGAAAAAAACTTGATAATTGAAATATACTTTTGTTTTGTTTTTGTAGGAGATGCGTTTGTGGGAGGATTTCTGTCGCAATTGGTTAAGGAGAAGCCCATTGAAGAATGCGTGAGGGCTGGGTGTTATGCAGCCAATGTTATCATCCAAAGGCCTGGTTGCACGTACCCAGGGAAGCCTGATTTTCATTGAGGGCTTCCTCCATTTCTGTCACTGCTATGAATTTTTTTTCATCGACAAGGATTTTAATAGCCACACTCTAACTGGTGTGGGTTTTTTGGACCCCCCGGATAGGGAAAATAGCGTGAAAATGTTGCAGGAAGAGATAAAACGAGAATAAGTTTATGTATGTATTTGAAGTTCGATCAAAGCATCAATTCTCATATTGCTGTTTCTGATCGTTATTTTTCCTTTTTGGTTGCATTTTATAATGTATTTGTATCCCTATCAGGGCACGAGTCTTATTTGTTATCCTATCTTTCTACTCTTTCCTTTATGGTTTATTTTATCGCTTGTGTCGTTAAAATTAATAATATAAAACTAGTTTGCATTTCTAGTTGTGTTTTGCTCCTGGGTAACCATTGCAACGCCGCCCACGATTCTATATATAATGTGTGAACTAGTCGACTTGATTTAAATACTTGGATAATAGATTGCAAATTTTAAACCCTAGTTTTGGAAAGAGCATGGCAGATTGAGTTTAATTTATAAAGGAAGTCTTTGGTTTATTTTTGTAAACTTACATGCATTATATTCGTTATCATGATAAATGTTGTGTAAATTATCTTTCACTGAAGTAAACTACTTTGAACTGAAGTTTATTATAGTTAAGATAAAACAATTCTATATCAATTAATTTGTGTTTTGTATGTAATATTTTTGAAAATATTGTTTGTATTCTAAATTATGGTTTGAGTATAAGAGATCTCTGCTGTACTAATCATAGTTTGCAGATTAAAATCTAAACGCACCCTAAGATTAGACTTAGCTTCTAAATAAAAATTTGAAACAGAAATATGATTTGATTTGAAGCATTTATTTAAACGAGTCTGATTTGAAATTTAAACCTTTATATGTACAGATGAGAGGAGAAAACTGCGACTTCCCCTATCTGGAAATGCCAAGAGTGGAAATATGAAAAACTATAATAAATCTGCTATTCCGGCATATATTGTGTCTGTTTGAACCTTATATGTGATTGGAATGACAGCTCTAGTGCATTTTTTTCCTGAAGTTAAAAATGTTTTTTGGAACTCAAACTTATTAATTGATTCTAATTAAAATAAATATTATATATCTTTTAACTTATAACTATTTGAAACATGCAAATGTATCAATAATTTAGTACAAATTATTTATTTAGTTAACATAGACTTTAAATTTTAATCTTATGAATGATGTTTATATATATATATATATATATATATATATATATATATATATATATATATATATATATATATATATATATATACTTTTTCTTTTCTACCGAACTAAATAAGGACTGCTAAACTTTCATTGTTTTTCTAAATTTTCGAAAAAATAGTTAAAAATTCTCTTTATTTTCTCCTTTCCTACATCTCAATCCCAAACAATTTGTTTTTTCTCTAATTTAACTAAATGGGATTAATAAGTATATTCTTTAATGGGGACCACGGTTTTCCAATATTGATTTATTTTTGTTATGTAAGATTTCGAATCCAAAGAGAATCTGTACGTGTTTTTTAAAATATAAAGTGGAATTTTATTAATTTAATATTTAACAAATATTTTTTATGTAAGATGAAATTAGAAGACAAATATATAGTTTTTCATTTTCATAAAAAATAGTTAAATTTGGTTTTCATAATTTATTACATACAATTTCATAACTTCTTATGATTACGAAAAGATTTTTTACGTAAGAAAAAAAATTAACACTGGAAGAATAATAGTTCAGCGTATTTTTGTAAGTGAAGGAAAAAAAGACATAGGAATAATAAATATGAATGAGTTCTCACCATTCATTGGTAGAACAATTCCCTTTAAAATGTTTTCTACAGTACAGGCATATTAAGACGCTAAAGTATTAAGAAAGTCAATTTATAATTTAATATCTATGTCAAATAAATATGAAATAATTTAACGGCTGATTTATTTTTTATTTGTTAACTTCATTTTTATGTTAAATTTGATTCTTTTAAGAAATTAAGCTCAGTCCTCTAAATTTTAAATATAATTCTAAACAATCATTCTGTCAAGTTATAAATAACTTCAAATTTTAAAAAGACAAATGATTAAAACATTACAAAGCAATAATTTTGGTAAAAATATTTTCATACACATAATTGATAAACAATAACTTCTTATATTTCTTGGAATATTTTTAAAATTTAAAAATGTTTGAAATAAAAAAATAAAATAAAATGAAATAGCAGTTATGGTGGAGTTAAAAAACAATTCCCCTCATCCCCATATAAACGTCCTAACAAGTATATATATATACATATATATATATATATATATATATATATATATATATATATATATATATATATATATATATATAAAATCCATGAAACAATCTTTTTTTTAGAATTCTGAGTTGGAAAAATACACACAAAATTACATATTTCATAAACCATTTCAAATCAAACTTGGTGGGCCAACAGTTACCAATAACAAATGAAAAATAAAATACCCAAAGAGGAAATTATATGAAACAAAAATGATAAACAAACAAAAAACTGATTCAAAAGTTAGACCTCAAATTGAAATAAAAGTAGGTATAAAAACAAAAAGAGTTAGATAGAGTAAAGAAACTATTTGAGGATTTGTACCAATCAATTTGAAAAGCAAATAATTTTTTTAGTTGAAAATTGTGCTTATATCATGGACAATAGTTGGTGACATAGCAAACTTGCAATAAAAAGTAAAATAATAAATGGTAGTAAAGTAGCAACTCATAAAGATATTAATTGATTATTAATAACTTGATAAATATAACATTAATAAGCATTTTCATTTGGGCATAGTGTTGAAATCCCTCACAAATTAAAGGGTAAAAATTGTCAACCATTCCAAGCTTCAAATTGAGATATTGAAACAACTTATTACAAGAACATGCTTTGGTTAGAAGTAGTAATGGGACAAAGTTCATTAATCCTGCTTTAGCTCTTTTCACCAATAAGATTATAATCAAATTTTAAATGATTATTGTGTTTGTGAAAAAAGAAAAAGAAAAGAAGAGGTTAATAAGTTTTGATTTGTTATAACGAATATGTTTAATATAATTTTAAGTTGTTTTATGGCATTATTTATTAGAAGTGAAGAGTTGATTAATTTAATCTTACAAGATTAAGTATAAATTTTTCTTATGGATTATAATTTAATTATTATATCTTTCATATGAAATTTTAATACACTCTTTTATATAAATAATTCGAGTACCGTATTAAGGTCTGATAATCGGTTTTATATTGTAATAATCATTACATAATGATATAATATCTTAATATAGTTAAAATTGACTTTTATATCATATTAAATATAAAAAAAATTAACAAAGTTGATTTATAAAGTGAATTTTACATAAAATATATATAAAGTATAATTTAATTTAATTATATCTTTGATGGATAAGCTCTGCTAACATCGAATATATGAATTTGATTACGAATAAATTGATACAAATAAATTGATTACGATGAAAACAATAACAGATATTTCAAATAAAATACAAAAAAGTAATACGATAACCACTAAAAATTAATCACTTTTTCGTCCTGAGTAGTAGAAAACCACAGATGGGTTCAAAAAATGAAAAATCTTAATCTGGAATCACACTCTCTAGAAACTCAAGGGTTGTATCAAAAGAACTCGATGATGAAATAGTTGAGTTTGACTCTTATATTGAGGGTTGCCTTTTGACCAATACTACGAGAAAGTGTAAAAGTTTGTTTGATTTAGTTTTAATTTTTACTTTTAAAAATAATTTTAATAAATAATTTTAAAAAATTGTATTTAGAATAAGTTAGAAAAAAAATACTACTTGATAACTATAGTTTAAAACCTGTTTTAAGAATGAGAAAATTAAAAAAAAACTTGTTTGATAAAATTGATTTTAAAAATAATTTGAAGATTTAAAAACAAAAAAAAAATATTTGGTTATAACTTTTTTTATTAATGATTTTTTAACAATACATTTAATTTTAGTCTTATTAACTATGAATAAGATTTTTTTCTTTATAAATGACTACAAATAAAAAATCATAAATATAAAAACCAAAAATAGAAAAAACTTATCAACTTTAATAGTTATTTTAAATATGAAAATAATATAAATTTGTAAATTTTATATATTTATACGTATAAATATATAAACATTTATTAATGTCTTACTTTATCAAGATTTAATAAAAAATAAACACATTTTAAAATATTATTAAAATAATAATTTAAGAAAAATGGACGTCACATTGAATGGTATAAAGTAACATTTTATGTGAGACTTGTGAAATGAGTCATTAATAAGATTTTATGAATATTAATTTTTGTAATTTCATATGACAATAGAAGGAAAAATGAATTAACAAAAGTAATATAAGTTATTAAATATATGACCGTTGTATTATTAAAGAACCAAAGACCTCTAGAAAATACTGAATCACAAGGTTTAGTTGAATTTATGAGAAACAAACCTCCAAAATTCTCTAGGGTTATAGCTTAAAAAAAAGGTTGAATTGTTGATTAAAGAATTAGAAAGAATATTTTGAGTTATGAATTATTCTAACAACCAATAGGTGAATTATGATGTGTATATGCTAATAGAAGAGTCTGAATATTTCTAGGATAGTACTAGGAGATTGTTAGAAGGAGGAAAAATAATCATTACTTAGAAGTATTTAGAACAAACTTTTTTGAAAAATATTTCCCTAATGATGTGAGGAGAGCCAAAAAAATAGAGTTTATACAATTGAAGTGAGAGAGTATGACAGTAGGGGAATAAATCTCTAAGTTTGAAGAGTTAGAAAATTACTTTACGTTCTTTTATCACTTCGATAAAAGAATGAAGTGTATAAAATTTGAGAATAAACTTATACTTGATTGAGAAAAGCAGTGAGAATATAAAAATTTATGATTTTGGTACACTTATTCACAAGTATAGATTTCTCGAGGATTTTGAAAACAATTAAAATAAAAAACCAAAAAAT